TTGAAAAGAAAAGTGCACATCCTAAGCACACTTTCTCGCTCCAAGATGAAATCTGAAATATCCATTCCTAACTTAGTGAACCAACTTAGAGCTCTATACTAAGGGAGCGTTATGGTATGACAATTTAGAATTCTTTTGAATTTTTGCAAGATTGCAAATCACATAATTTGCAGGATGCCCACATCAAATTTGAAGATTTCATACAAGAACAAGCACTCAGAGATATCTTGCGAAAAGAAAAAAAAGAACTTGGGGTAGAACCCCACAGGAAAATAGGAAATTAAACACTAATCTAGGGTTCAAGCAATGGAACACATTTTGTGGATAGGAATTTCAATTAAGTACTGAAGAAACTCCAAGTGAAAAACATATATACTTCCATAGAACATCCACAAACAAAGAAGAGGCCACAAACGGAATTCTAAAAATAGGGCATACATCCTGGAAACCTTATATGGATTGATCATTCAGCAAACATGGAAAGCGGACAAACTTAGAAAAATTTATGGTTGATATATATGACTTAAGTTGAAATGATGAAATGAATGATTTTGACTATCTTATGTCTCTATTATGGAATCTATTAAAGTTGCAGGACTCCAACAATGATGAAAAGGAAGATATGAAAAGAAAAGTGATCTCGGCTAAACGAAATGATCTTTGACATCTTGCCTGAAATGAACACTGACTTAGGACCCAAAATCCTAACTCAGTGCCTAAGGCCTGAACCTTAGGCATGAAATGAATGTTGGCCCACAAGGCTTGAACCCTCAACCCAGCACCTAAGTCCCGAACCTTAGGCATGAAACAAAAGACGAAATGAATGTTGGTTTACATGGCCTGAACCCTCACACCAGTACCTAAGACATGAACCTTATGTTTTGAACAAAAGGAGCAACTCATTCCACGTTCAAAATATCAAGACATCTCGTAAAGCGACATCACATTTAGATTATCATGACATCTTACAAAAACAACAGAGCATCTCGCAAATAAAATGATCCCCTAAAGTGAAGCAAAAACATGCAATATAGAAAGGTACGCAACTATATGAATAATAAATGAATATATATTGCATCTCGCTACTCATGCTTTCAACATAAGTAACAAGCTGAGGGACTTATGACCTATAATAAGTATATTTAAACCCACTTGGGAAAAACTTCACCCTGAAAAAAGCCCACATTTAAAGCTTTCACTATGAAAAAAAGGCTTCGGTCAACAAAGGCTGTCTCAGCCACGTTGCTTATGCAAACTTCACCAAGATACTTATGCAAAAAACCTTATCTCAAGCCATCCACGAGGACTAATGAAAATAGTTTGCCGCCTCACCACTTGCAAGCAACTTGGAGGGACATTTCTCAAAGATGGTCATCTCTCCACTATAAAAATGAATGTGTTAACCAGAGGTACACATATTTTTCTATATAAATAAACTTGTTTACACAAAATATGACTTGAGCATTGAAGTGTTTTGCAGATACACCCCCCGACTTATTCCAGTGAAGACCCATGAATTAAAGATATATCAAATCATTTATATAGAGGAAGATCAGCATGATCAATCCAAATAAAATTGGTTCTGATCAACTACTAAACACATTTTTATTCCCTCTGTTCTTTTTCGATTATATTTTCAACAAGAACCAACTAGAATACAATATGCCTAAAGTGTTGGACCAAGATTGTAGTTAATAGGAAAATTATATTTGTACACTACGATATCCATGCCGCTTTTACGCTTTGTTTATATGCGAAAATACAATTAGAGAACGCGTGTATTGAAAATTCGTGTTTATTGTTTTAATAACTAAAAAATAGTTTGATAATAATGTAATAAAGGAGAGGTTATACTTACAACATATTTTTCTTTACAACCTCTTAGAACCAATATCTTAACCATTGATTTCCGCCAATCAACGGTTAAGATTTATTACGAATTAATAATTAATTAATAAATTTTATTTGCAAAAATCTTAACCGTTGATTGATGAAAATCAACGGTTAAGATATTGGTTGTAAGAAGTTGTAAAGGAAAATAGGTTGTAAATATAACCTTCCCCGTGTAATAAAAATAATATATTTTGTTCAATATTAGTTGCTGAAAAAATTAGAGTTACCAACATGTAACAAGGATAGCAAAGTTCGATTCCGATAAATTCTACATGTAACAGAGTAATAGTTCCGTTTTTATCTTTGCCGTTCCCCTTGTTTTGGACCTCGTTATTAGTAGTCATGTTTTTTTTTTTTTTGATAACAATAGTAGTCATGTTTTACTGACATTGACATATGATACGATATGATACGTCAATATGTTAATTTTAAAAATATTTTAGACTTCAACACATTAGTATCTATTTTGATATTAGATAATATTTTTAATAAATATAATAAAGTTTACATTCAATACATATAGCAGTCTATAATATGTCATATAACTAATTAAATATTCAAATTTCATAACAGAAAATATTTGATTTATAAAATTTAGATAAAAAAACTTGTTGAAAAATATTGAAAACATGTCAGAATATTGACCGCGTATCAAAAAATATTGACAACATATTGAAACATGTCAATACCCGACACATTTTTTTTTAAAAAAATGGATGTCCGTGCTTCCTTGGTTAGGAGGCTACCTTCGAAAGTACAAATATTATTATCCTATTTAATAATGAGAAATAATTATCTCATGTTGCATGAGATAATTATTTCATGGAACAGAAACAAAGTACTGAGGTCCATTATTATTATTTATTTTTAAAAAATAGTGGATTCCACTATCTTGTATCTGTTACATGAGATAATTATCTCATGTAACATGAGATAAATAGATCTCTTTAATAATAGAAATGGCAAACCTTCAAGACTTAAAATACTGTCAAAGACGCCACTTTCTCACCGATGGCACACAGCAAAATTTGAAAGTTCTAATATATGTTAGATTAAATTATACAAATTAATATTTTTCATATTATAGAAGATAATTTTATCTCCAATATATACATAAAAGTATGTGAGATTTACACTATCTTTTTCTCTTTACATAATTTCACATAAATCTCATATACTTTTATATATATAGGAGACAAAATTATCTTATATATACATAAAAAACAATAACTCCTTAATTAAACAACTAAAACTTCACCTATAGTTAGGTAGTTGTTGTTTTCCCTTGCAGGCACAAAAACTATTTCCACATTTTTTAACTGTTAAATTAATTTTCAAACAAACTTTCTTTTTCATATAGAAATGACAGTAACAATATATATATATATATATATATATATATATATATATATATGGGAGATGTTATAGTTACAACTTTTTTTTTTACAACCTCTTACAACCATATATCATAACCGTTAATTTCCGCCAATCAATGGTTATGATTTTCGCAAATTAAATTTATTTATTAATTATTAATTCATAATAAATGACAACCGTTGATTGACGGAAATCAACAGTTATGATATATAGTTGTAAGAGATTGTAAAAAAAAAGGTTGTAAGTATAACCTTCCTATGTATATATTCACGATTGTTGATCTTGATAAGGGACTATTGGAAATTTATAAAGAGATCAAGAATAATTTAAAAGAAACTTTTGTATTTAAAATTGGCTAAAAGACAAAATGCAAGAAAACACAACAACTTTTTATTCTAACAACCACTCTCTTTTTTTAAGTGCTCCGACACTTTCACACACAATTCTTTTCTTTTCTCAATTACACACACTTTATACCACTTTTTGTTTCTATCTCACACCTGGTGCTTCAGTATTTTGGTTCTGTTCGATTGTATTTTGATTTTTCTGTTTGTAAATCTATTTTGTAGAATAGTTATGGAAACAAATATTTTCTGTATTTTTTGTTTTGAAAGTTAAAAATCAAAACATAAAACAAAGATAACTCAGACATATTCTTTAAATTTGATTTTAAAAATAAAAAAGCAGTTATGATTTTTAATTTTTTTATACAAAATATACCTTATAAAATGAGTTTTTTTGTTCTAAAAACTATTTTTTTTTTAAAAAACAATATTCAAACCAGCTTTTATCACTATATTTTTTATTCTCTTGCTTCAATACCAAACACATAACAAAACATACATATATAAAGGCATCATAGCTACGGACTTTGATGGCCAGCTAAATGCCCGGCCATTATTATTAGAAAAGCATAAAATTATTAATATAATATCATATAATAATTTAAATTTTTAGATTGAATTAATTTCTTACAAGATATCACTAATTATATGAGGAAGCGCGTTAGAGAAGTATGAAATTATTAATATATCCTATCTTGAATTAATTCATTACAATTATTGTTGACTTTTTATTGGGTAAAAGGCAAAATGCAAGAAAACACGCTACAACTTTTTATTCTCACAATCACTATAAGTGCTACGGCACTTTCGCACAAAATTCTTTTCTTTTCCAATTGCACACACTTTACACGATTTTGTGTATCTTTACGCTTCGGCACTTTATCACTCTTTTTTTATTCTCTTGTTTCAATACCAAGCACATAACAAAACATTCATATTTGATGGCCAGCTAATTGCCCAGCCACCATTGTTGACTTTTTCTTTTCCTCTTTGTTAGAAATCAATTTTAATTCAACTTCTATTTCCACAAACTTTTTATCACCTTTGACTTTTTGATCAAAATCCATTCCAGCAAGAAATCTTGATTCTCATAGTTAATCAACAGAACCTTCTTGAACTAGAGTTTTAATTCTATCATCTTCCATATGTTTCGTAGTTTGCGGTGAGAAGTTGCTGGGTTGAGTATCAGGGACGAGACCACGAATAAATGCCAAATATGATGTCCAGGTTTCTTCATTTTATATTTTAGCGCGTTATGCTCAGAGGTGTGTGTCGAAATCTGAACCGTTGGATTTCTATGATGAATGATGAGTGATGGCCATCCCCACTTTCCATCTGTGTCCCAGCTCTTCTCCGTTTAGTGGGTGGGTGTGGAGTACCGCGTAGAGTGCTTGTCATTTTCTTGATTCATAGAATTGTAATCAAATCCTAAATAGAAGATAATAAACTACCCACTCAACCCAACAAAAGTAAAGGAGAAAAAATGATATGCCAACGTTTGCAACTTATATATAAAGGGTCTCTCTGCATCATTACTGAAACCACAAAACAACAACAACAACAAAGAGTGTTTGAACTCTGAATACAACAGAGAAAATGGTGGTAGCAGAGTTCACAAGTGGTGGTCTTGGTGACTGGAGAAGAATGAAGAACTTCAGCTACCAAGTTCTCACAGGCCGTTGGTTCATGGTATTTGCCTCTTTACTAGTCATGGCCTTTGCTGGGGCAACCTATATGTTTGGTTCGTACTCTAACGAGGTCAAAACCTCTTTGGGCTACGACCAATCCACTCTCAACTTGCTCAGCTTCTTCAAAGACCTTGGCGGAAACGTTGGAGTTTTATCCGGGTTGATCAATGAGATAACTCCGCCTTGGGTGGTTCTCTCAATCGGTGCTACTATGAACTTCTTCGGCTACTTCATGATATGGCTTGCCGTCACTGGTCGAATTGCCAAACCCCAAGTTTGGCAAATGTGTCTCTACATTTGCATTGGTGCAAATTCACAGACTTTTGCCAATACCGGTGTTTTGGTGACATGTGTCAAAAACTTCCCAGAAAGCCGTGGCAGTATCTTGGGCCTTCTCAAGGGCTATCTTGGTCTAAGTGCTGCCATTATCACACAACTCTACCATGCTTTCTATGGTGACGACTCACAAGCTCTTATCTTACTCATTGCTTGGCTCCCTGCCGCTGTTTCCTTCCTTTTCCTCCCAACAATTCGGATATTGAACACAGTGCAACAATCCAACAAGCAACTCAAAGTTTTCTATCACCTTTTATATATCTCACTTGGCCTAGCTGGGTTTCTCATGGTATTGATCATTGTCCAGAACAAGCTGAGTTTTTCAAGGATTGAATACATTACCGATGGCCTTGTGGTTTATTTCTTACTTCTTCTCCCACTTGTTGTTGTATTTAGAGAGGAATTCAACCTCTGGAAGACCAAAAACCAAGGTTTGACCGATCCATCTCAAGTGAAAGTAGTCACTGAAGTTGTTCCACCTTCAAATATGGTTTTTCCATCCCAGCCAGAACCAACTACAACTAGCTCGCACAAGAAAAGTTCTTGTTTGGCCAACGTATTCAAACCCCCAAACAGGGGCGAGGACTATACAATTTTGCAAGCCCTGTTCAGTATTGACATGTTGATTCTGTTCATCGCAACAACGGTTGGTATTGGGGGAACATTAACGGCCATTGACAATCTTGGGCAGATTGGGCACTCGTTGGGATACCCGAAGAAGAGCACAACCACCTTTGTGTCCCTAGTGAGCATATGGAACTACCTGGGACGAGTAGTTGCTGGTTTTGCATCAGAAATCTTCTTGACCAAATACAAATTCCCTCGTCCCTTAATGCTCACTCTGGTTATGCTTCTCTCTTGTGTTGGCCATATTTTAATTGCCATTGGTATCCCAAACTCTCTCTACTTCGCTTCAGTGATTATTGGGTTTTGTTTTGGAGCTCAATGGCCGTTGATGTTTGCAATCATATCAGAAATATTTGGCCTTAAATACTACTCCACGTTATATAACTTTGGAGCCGTGGCAAGCCCTGTTGGATCCTACATACTAAACGTGAGAGTCGCTGGTTATTTGTATGATAAAGAGGCTTTGAAACAATTAGTGGCTAAGGGACTCACGAGACAAGCAGGGAAGGACCTAACTTGCTTAGGAGTCCAATGTTACAGGATGTCTTTTTTCATAATTGCAGCATCAACGCTGATTGGGTGTTTTGTTTCGTTCATTTTGGTGCTAAGGACTAGAAAATTTTACAAAGGTGACATCTATAGAAAGTTCAGAGCAGAACTTGAAGCAGCAGAGACTCAGATGGGGAGTACCAAAAGTGATAATGTTTTGTTTGAAATAGAGGACCGTGCAACCTTAAGTGGCATTGGGGCTACTCCCGCCACCACATGCGGCTCAGAGGAATCAAATAAAAACAATGTAAAGTGAAGTGTGTTTGAGATATAATTAATAAATGGAATTGGGTATTCTAGCTTCTTCTTTTTTTCCATGCATATCTTATCTACCAATATCTAACACCATTAAATTAAGATAAGATAGAATGGTGTTGGAAAATAGTAGACAAGATAGATAGAATAACTTATTCCTTAATAAATAGTTACTTGATGTTCTAAGAGAATATAAATAATATACTTTTTCGAAAAGGAAAATGCTGCATGCAATGAAGTGTTTGATTAAATTTTGGTATTCCAGTATTTGATACACATTGGAGTCTTTTAAAAATCTAATTATTATAATCTTAATTAATCATATTTTTAAATTAAAAAAAATTACTTAAAAAAAAATGAAGTACAAACAAACGAGTGAAAAAACGCATTAAGAAGTGAACTATATTTATGCTAAGAACATTTATGGTATATCAGATGTACTGAATTTGGTATATCTTTTTTCCAAATTAAAAAAAAAAAATAACGTGAAGTGAAACAAAAATTCAAAAGTAGTGAATTTTTTTTTTCAAATTTTAGAAAAAGATATATACTAAGTTCGGTACATCTAATATACCAAAGATATTCTCATTTATGCGATATGTCATATAGGTATTTAATTATGGGTAATACTCTTTATATGTTGTATAAGAAAAGTATTATCTCCTACTCAAACAATAAATAGAAGAGAGAAAAAAAGTTGGAGGTGAGAAAAAAAAATTCTTGTGAATCTCATTTGAAAAATGTAAATATAGGAGATAATACTTCTTTTATCTTTGATGTAACATAACAAAAATATTACTTTTTAATTATTTGTCTAAAAATAAATGTGAGAAACCAAGATCCTTCAGCTGTTGCTATCGTATTCCATCATTGTCTAAATTCGGAATATTTACACGTGTTCAGTTAATAAACACTTAATGTGGCATATATTTAATTATCAATTTCCTTCCTTAAAACTTCCGATCAAAATTCTCACGAGTGGCAAGTGTGTCGTGCATCTTTTTGCACAAGCTGACATGCACCACCATTTGGTGATGACGCAGTGTAGGAATTCAAGTCAAATTTAGGGAGTGTTTGATACCTGAGATTTTTCTTTACCAAAAGAACAAAAATTTGTCGGGAACATAATAAGAAATATTTATTGTCTGGTAAGTTAAGAAAATGTGTTTGGTAAGTTAAAACTTTTCCGGAAAAATTGAGTTAAATTTACTGATGTTATGTTTGGTTGATAGTAAGAAAATGATGAAAATATTAACAAAGTTACAAAACTACCCATCAATTTGAATATACAATTGAAGTGTTCTGAAAAATATAGGTTGTTTTGGTCAACAAAAATTGTAAACAATTTCCCTCAACGAAGGCAGATTTACTTACCATGTTTTGAATGGTAAAATTTATGTTGGTTTCTATGTAGAAAAAAACTTGATGGGCACAAAAGTTTCCAACTACTTTTTTAACTCTCCCTCTACCAAACATGGCTAACCTTTTCTCCCTATCCCACTTTCACGGACAATTTTTTTTTTTCCATCGTAACAAACACTCCCTTAATGCAACATGCACCCACACTGATTTGACGGAAGTTATCAAAACAACCAGGTTTTGCTAGAAAGTGAACCTCGCTATATTCCAATACGCCTAACATGACATTGACAAAGATGACGATGACGAGTAACAAGATCAAATATAATAGCCTCACTCCGCGTGCGTTCGAGGCTCATCACTAATCAGCCACAAGAAAATTGCAGTGACCGATCAAGACTTGATATTGATAATGACAAAATGTGGAATGGACCAAACCGTGATTATAACATTGAAAACATTCTTATGTAAGGACAAGATGCTCTATCAGCACTTTCTAACCACATGTTAAATACAACATGGTACTGTAAAAAAGAGAACACGAATACGATGCTGCAAGTGATCGAGATATTTGCTTATTAGTATTGATAATGAATTCAATATATACATTTTTTTTCTTCTATTTTTTCCCTTTTTTTGAAAGGATATAATTAAAATGGAGAAAGATCCGTTTATAATTTTTTTTTACAAATTACATTTACATATAAACTCTTGATTGCCGGTCATACTTAATGTAGTTTGTAAACAAAAAGTTTGTAAATATAACATTTTCCAATTAAAATTCCTTAAGCTTGTCACTTTAAAGATAAGGTCTCTCTTAAATACCGTCAGCATTTACTATATATTAAAGACGCAGATTAACTGGCCAAGATTGATTCCCCTTTCCGTTCATTTTACTTATTTTTAGCCAATTGAAAACCAAGTGTACTATAGAATTGATTATTGTTTTATTCCCCTTAATTGGCATCGTAATGAGGATGTCTATGCACATAATTCATGGTTAGAGTACTAAAGGATAATGTCCTCTTCTTGAGTTGAAAAATTAAAACGCATTCTCAAAGTAAAGCCTCCTAGTGTTTTACCAACAACAAAAAAAACCTCATGGTGAAATAGTTTTCGCCGTTTTCACCTAGAGGGTGCGTCACGAAAATAAGGTCTATGGGAGATAAGAGGAATGCACAAAATATGGTGAATTAATTGGTGTCGATTTCCCTAATTTTGGATGCAATTGTGACGGGTAACCACATGTCTCTACTTCGATTTTTAGGTGAAACACCTTTTGGTTAGTGGCAAAAAAAATTTATCAACAAAAATTAGTCTCATCCAAATGAATGGGTCGTCTTTGAAAAAAATAAAAAATTAATGTACTTAATTATGGTAAGATCAAAACTTGTGTAGTTGTCCATCAATGAAGCAGCGAGATAAGCCTTTTCAAATATAACAAGCAATTATGTGCTTAATTTTATTGATTCATATAATTTATTTAACACAATTAGCACTTTCAAACAAGTATTTATAACTCAACGGTACTCAAATTCTAAGTAAATACAAAATTTTAATGAAATATTAATTTTTAAAATAACAAATAAAGAAAAGAAAAATTAAAATATCATAAATTATCAAAATTATTTGAAAGATAAAATTAAAAAACTATCTTAATAACAATAAGGGAGCATTTATACTTACCACCAATGCCGTTGATTTAAAATTAATCCAACAATAACCAAATAGGTTATAAGAATGGTAAACTAAAATGATAATAAGTATAATCTTTCCCTAACAATAAAATGATAAATTATCCTGTATTTTATGATGCTCTAGGACAGGGGCGAACCGAGGTTTGTGCAATTGTCTGCATTTACAGACATAAATTTATGGGGGGAAAAAAATTTCACAGGTGTTTCGTTTATAATTGGGGAAGTTGACTTCCTTTTTTGCTAAATAGAAAAGTAGGTTTTGTTTTTTGAATTAAATATTATTCCATTTTCACAGGCTTTCATTTTTTGAATAAGAACTTTTTTTAAAATAATGTATTACTCAATTTTTTTTTGTATACAGCTAATTTTTTCTAATTGATTATTTCTTTTTCATTTATTTAATTTTAAATTTATTTGGATTCAGAATTAAATGTTAACATCAACATGAAATATTCAATATATCATCAAAAACAAAATTTGTTTTTTTCTATATAACCCTAACCAGCAAACGGAACCGATTATATCTAAGAAACAGCTAACAAATAAAATTGATAAGATTTATGATAAAGATATAATGTAATATTTTTAAGGAATGAAGAATCGAAAAACACTTTTATAATTATTCTATCGTAACAACTTAGTTAACTCTTGATTACTATTTTTTTTTACGCTAAGTTGAAGTTTCATTGTTTTTTTTTGTTTATATTCTTTTATTTTTTAATACATTTGAAATTTTCTTTAAAAAAAATAAAATTCTCTAGGTGCACCACTGTTCTAAGAAACAATCGCTCAAGTAATGTACTAGATTATTATGAGTTCGCTTTTTCTACAGTTAATGTAAATAATTTATCTACATTGAGCCCAAAACGACATCGTTTTAATGCGGAAATAAAGGTATTTTTGTAATTATACTTTATTTCAGGTTATAATAGTCTTTTTCATTATAATTTATTAATTACCTCTGTGAGGCGAATCAGAACCTCCCGGTATCCCCACGGGTTCGACTCTTTGAGTCACCTATGAGACTAATCCAGAGTTCGGGTGCGAGTTAAAGGATTACGGTACTTATGCCCCTCCCCAAATGGTGTTGGTGGAATTTGAACCGAGGTCCTCTCCCACCACTCAGTCTCTATGCTACCAACTGAGCCACCACACTTGGGTGTGAAAGAGCTTATTAATTAGGGGTGTTTATCAACCGATTCAAACCGCAATAACCGAACCGAAAAACTGATAACCGAAAGCCGAAAAACCAAAAACAAAAAAAAATCGCAAATTTTAATTGGATTGGATCGGTTTTCGGATTGGTCAATGAAAACCGATCCAATCCAAACCGATCCAATATATTAATTTTCCTCTATCTACTTGGGTTTTTTCCCAATCATAGCCCAAAAATTTCTAAACCAAAGACTCATTAACTCATTAACTAAATTCAAGAAAAAGCCTAGTCACATCTCATTAACAAAATTTAATTTGTCTAAAGCTTCATATCTCATTGCCAAAAAAGAAAAAACTATATTATCGTTTAATGATGTTTTTATATTTAAAATAAAATAAAATTACAAAGTCAATATATACAAAAGATGTTATTTACACAATAATTATGAAATAAATTTTAGGATTTTCAAAAAATCAAAAACCGATCCAATCCAAACCGAAAAAAATTGGATTGGATTGGATCGGATTTGAAAAAAAAATCAAACCAAATGGATAATTACATGATCAAACCGAAGGGATTGGATCAGATGATTTTTGCTTCCAAAACCGATCCAGACCGCGAACACCGCTATTATTAATCATAGCAAAATGCACTAACGAGTGAATTACATTTATGGTACATTAGATATACTGAACTTGCTATATTTTTTTCCAAATTTGAAAAAATTTGTAACATGACAGGAAACAAAAAATTCAAAAGTAATAATTTTTTTTCCAAATTTTAAAAAAAAAAAGATATACTAAACTCGATACATATGATATACTAAAGATATTCTCGTTTATGCGATATGCCATATGGGTATTTAATTATTTGTCTAAAAATAAATGTGAGAAACCAAGATCCTTTAGCTGTTGCTATCGTATTCCATCATTGTCTAAACTCGGAATATTCACACGTGTTCAGTTAATC